TTCTACTACTTTCCGTATTAGGTTCTTTGAAGAACCGTTTAATCTCTGCCCTCCAATCTATTGCATCTCCATCATGTATGCAATGAACTCCGATCCTTCCCGCCCTCCTTTGCACTACGAGCAATATTACTCCATATTCACAAATGGATTCCCAATTTAAAGCTTTTGAAAAAATGCTTGAAAACTGTTTTATAACTACCCACTTTCTTCATGATGGCTGACTTGTCATCGAATTGCCGTCTCTAACTTTTATCATTACTCTTGTCGTTTAACTTCCTACAATCGGGATTCTCGGATCGTAGGGTATGATAAGGTTGCTCAATAACTGTTGTACTAGATAACCATAATACCTTATATTCGCTCAAATCTTAGGCGACTCAAAGGTTTGGGCGAGAACGGGATCATCGCTCTGGGCGACAGTATGGCACTCCATTCGCTCAAATCTTGGGTGTCTTGCAAGTTTGGACGATGATGGTACTTTGTTCGTGGGCCTCCACTGCATTCCATAATGGTCCTATTTGGACATGGATCCTGGATTTCCTAATTGGGCTTCATTTATTGGACTATTCAATTTGAGCTATACTTTTTGTATGTCAACAATAATACATACAAAATGACATAAAACTCTTTTCTACCCACAAAAATCAGTCACTGTGAACTCATGTGCATGAATCACTTTTGGCAAACACTAAAAAAATGATAGAAAATAACAAAAAAGTGACATAAATTTAAAAAAGTGACTAAGAATATTTCTCTAACAAAAGTAGCAGTGATGAAGTGTTAAGCATGTAATGCATCATTTTACGGGATTAACCATAAATATAGAACGCGCATAACAAGAAACCAATCATAATTCTTGCTGTTCTTCCTTGTTCTTGATGATTCCTAGTTTATTTTTCAATTCAGACAACTAATTTGCAAAGATAGTGGGGTCAAGACAACCTCAGAAGATCATTATTTTATTTTAATTCTCCATTAACCTATGCATAAAAGAAACTATTTAATTTCACCAGAGGTCCCTGAACTTCTTTGAATTTGCATCAGCAATTTTTTTTCAATGTGACGACAAAAACTAAAACTGAACAAATCGTTGCGTGTCTCGGATCACATCTAATGATATCAAGTTCAACTTGCCAAAAATGAAAACTTAAAACATACAACTAACAAATTTAATCTCACTTCACATTTCTCATATCATCCCTTTTACAATTGTTGGCAAACTGTACCTAACCATAAAAATATTCATAGAAAAGGAAATCCAGCCATAAACACACATAAATCAAGAAAAATAAATCGATTAAAATATACCGGGAGTAGAACATACACAGAAAACCAGTAATCTTTCTCTAGTGGGAAAATGTTATTCGCTACTAATTTTTTTTTTCTGAATCTAGCTGTTAAACAGGCAGATTGTTTAGCATTTCGTCATTCCACCACAAACAGATCCAGCTATGCACAGTACCATAATAACTTATTTCACTTGAGCTTCTATAACCAACAAACACTAAACATGATTAACAGTAATCGCTATACAACATTACTAAACGGAAGATGTATGCTATTGGTGGAAGTGGTAATCCAACCACATTTTAATATTTCTACGAATGCAATATCATTGTTTAACACATTTCAATATTATCATACTAAAACATAAAATAAAAAAAAAATGTTGCTACCTTGGATTTATAGACGGTCATTTCAAAAATAATAGGAATCCAAATCTAGGGTTTCGGCTATTTGGGATTTAGGGTCGAAATGATAATGAGATAGTGAAACCGAACAGATACGAAGAAGAAATCGATGTAAAATGGTCTAAAATGGAAATTTATAGTCGGAATTTGCTCGTAAGGAATCGATGGCAAATAGGTTGGATTTTTTCCTCTGGACGATTTCTACGAATGAGGATGTGAACCCAAATGGATACGAAGAAGAAATCGATGGAAAATAGGTCGGGAGTGGAGATTTACAGACGGGATTTGCTCGAAATTTGCTCGGATTTGCAGATTTATAGACGAGATTTGGGAAAAGATATTTTACGTTTCTGGGGAAGGAAGGAGGGTAGAATACTGAGCTATGTGGTTTGGGCTTGTACATGTTGAGCTTTTTAGACGTAATTAATACTTCATTAAAATGTTTAATTATAGTTTAAGGGTATAAATCAAAAACATTGTTAAAACAAGGGTACATGGCCTAATTTCCTCATATTTTATTGGGTGAATGTGTGATGAAAAATTTTACTGTAACAAACAATTTTTTTGGAATAATGGTAGACAAACAGGGGATTAATGTGCTGTTAGGACTGTCTAACTATACCGGCCCATGGATCAACCCAAAGTTCAACTACCCGTTAAATAATTGGGCCTTATCATTGGGGAAGAAACGGATAGGCGGTGGCCGTGCTTTCCACTCGTCCGAAACGCGCCGCTTCTTCCCGGTAACCTCACCGTCATCTGTCTCTCTACCCTACACACTTTCTCACTCTATACACATACACTCGCATACATGTATACCGACTCAGAAACCCTACCCATGGGTGCCCGCACTCTAACAATGGAGGCGCATAATTCAAGTGCTGCTGGTGGAAATGGCTTCCTGAATAGCCAAGAAAAGCCTCAGCGTAAATTTTTAATCGCCTTTTGCACTTTAAAACTAGTATTTCTTTTTAGTTAATATTTCTGTTTTTCTACTATCTGCCATTATTTTTTTAATTTGTAATTAGAAAAATAAAATGGTATTTTTCTGTTCTCCGTGATTGTGCGATCATGCGCTTTTACCGAACTGTCCGTTATCTAACAGTTGGAATGTAACTTCATGGACATTCAATTTAGACCCTGTTTGAGCCCCATTTAACATATTTTGTAAAGTAATTTTTTGAGAGAATGTGTGGTTAAAATGAGGTTGAGGAAAATGAGTTTTAAAAAATTGGGCTCTAATGGGAGCTTAGTAGACTTCTTTTTTGCAGTGTCCTCCTCAGCAAGTCTCGTGCATTGTTAAATTTGTGTTGAATTGCTAGGAGCCTGTTGGATCTATCTTGGAGACTGACTGGAAACATGCAGTCTAAAATATGGCTTTTCAATATTCACAAAGTTTTAATCTTTCTGTGCAAGTCAAGTTGGAGATCAAGTTTGCTGCTTCCACTGTCTGCATGTTTATAATCAAGGTTGTCTGAACAAAAGTTTTGCATCATAAAATTTTGCCTAGCTTTGTTTTTAAGATAGTTATTGTTAGACCCCTTTTACTAGGACAGGTCAGAAAGTAAAAGTAGATTAAATTTGGAATGTTGGGTATTCAAGTTCAAGACAGTAGACCAGCCTTGAGTAACTGAAATAATAGGTTTACAAAATTACAAATGAATGAAACTATAGATAAGAATACAATTTTGCAACAATGTGCAATTTAAGTGGATATGAAACTTCGAATGGTGAAATTAGAAGACTATGGCTTTTACTTTAATGCCAGCAATGGTAAGCAAATGAAAGTTGAATAGCATAGAATAGAAGCAGCCTTTTCGGTGTTTTTCCGGCCTGTCATTCTTCAGCCTTTTGAATTTGAAATACTGTTGAGTTTTGATTTTATTTGATGCTTACTTTTTTATTTAAATTTCAAGTGACTGTATTCTGGAATGTGCACTGTATTATGGGGGGAATAATGACTACTGATTTTGGAAGATTGCCCTTTTTGTTTTTCCTGGCAGCCTGTGCACGTGGAAAACTTGATGAAATGATTGCTGGTGACTCACTAGACTATAATTCTTGGAAATCGCTGATTTCAGAGATTGAAACAGCATCACCAGTAAGTTCAGATTTGTGTATTACATGCAATTTATAAGGTTTGGTGTTGCAATGAATCAATTTGTCAGAATAAATCACTCCACTTCTGCAGGGGTTTTTTTTTCTTGGTAAGAATGAAGAAGGGAAGAGGAGTAAAGAATTGTTCTTTCAAATATCAGTTTACAGGGGACAATTTGTATTTTGATTGATAAAATAATTAAAGGCACATAATTACCAGCTGAACAAAAAACTAAGAGGAACTCTTGTCCTCATTCACAGTCAATAAGATGTGAGAGCGCGCGCGCACACACACACACACACACATATATAGTGCCCTGATTGGTTCATGATGTACTGTTTGAGGGGCATAATAGTTACTGAAAAAAAAAAGAAAAAAAAATAAAAAGATAAATGATTCTTTAGCTATTTTTAGTGGCTCTTTGCCCATATAAAGTATTGTGTAGAGGGAAAGCGTAGGGATATCTGACGCCGGGGCTTCCACCACAACATGAGAAATTGATATCCTTTAAAAGTAACAATGTGCATCAAATATTGAATAAGCAAAACTATGAGGAGGGGGATTGATGGGGTTGAGGGTGTGGCTAATGGGTAAAGAGGTGGTCTGCGTGTATGTTTTGGGGGGGAGGGGGGGTGAAGGGGTTGGGTGTGGGGCTGACGTGGGCAGGGAGGGATGGGTGATACTGAAACTAGGGTGTGGGGGATTGAAACTGTTCTCTTTTGTTCTTGTTCTTGGCAGCATCACCTTTCATGGTGCCAAAAATAAACGGACCTTTCCTTTTCTGAATTACCCATTCGTTCCTTGAAACACTCGAGCGACAAATAACCTTTTAATGGGGACTCGGCTACGAAAATCTAAGGTTGGGCGACAAGGGACCTAAATGCTAAAAATCAGTTGAGGACCCCAATGATCATATATGCTTCTTGCTCATTTACGCAAAGGTTGGGAACCCTTGCGTTATTATCCCATGATGCATTACAGCTCATCTACGTTTACGTGGACATGCTTTCCTCAAATAGTTGGTTTCATTTATGCTCTAATTTCTATGTACTTTTGAATTGGCGCAGGATGATATTGATACAATCTCTGTAGCATATGACTACTTCTTATCCAATTTCCCATTGTGCCATTGGTTCTGGGAGAAATATGCTTATCACAAGTTAAAGCTATGTGGTGCTCCTGAAGCTGTTAAAATATTTGAACGTGGAGTGAAAGCAGCAGAATGCTCAGTTGGTTTCTGGGTTGACTATTTCAAATTTGGCACGTCCTTTTTTGGGGATCCTTCTGATGTTCGTAGGTAATGTTAGGTAGTTTGGATTATTTGTTGTTTTCTATGGAGAAAGATCCGAATCACCTGCACTTTTTTCCTCTGAGTCATTATGTTTTAGAAGCTATTGTCTGAAGTCTCTTCTTTCCACCTCTTTGTCCTGCACCATGGATGTATTATTACTGTGAAATCCAAGAAGTGATTCTTAATTCCATGTACTTCCTTTTTTTTCCCAGGTTATTTGGAAGGGGCTTATCATGTGTTGGAAAAGATTACTTTTGTCATGTTCTATGGGATGCATACCTGAAATATGAATTCAATCAGGAGGGATGGAGTTTCCTTGCACAAAGTTACATTGAAGCTCTGAAATTTCCTACCAAAAAGTTGCTCTTTTACTATGACAAGTACGTCAAGCTTCAAATCCCCCCAGGCTCCAAAAATGTATAATTCTTTGTAACCGTTTACAATAGCCTGAAATTTATGCCAATTATAGGAAACTCCCCTGAGTTACCATTTATTGCAAAGAACCAGTTGCATTTTATGTTCAAATACCATCGACTGCACCTATGTGAACTCGTCTTCTGTCTCTATGTCGGTGCCTGTAGAAATACCCTAGATATTAGGTCATCACAGATTAAGTTCTATCCTCTTTTTCCTCCCTTTTGACTGAAACAAATTAACAATTCTAGTCCTCTATTTTGAACAACTTTCTCTCTCTTCCCCAATTATCTTCCTGTTCAATCATTGTGGTCACTATGCCTCCAGAGGACTCTTTTGTTTCTATTACACCATGAAATTTTCATGCATGTGTAACTTCTAGCATTGACTTTAAACACGTTTTCAGAATCAGGTTTATGTTCTGTTCTGCTCTCCGCTATCTTCAAAATTTGTGTTCCCTTGTTCCTTTCAGGTAACAAGTATCATAAAAATTACTGAAGATAAACCATACCCACATGCAATGCACCTTGAAGTGTCAGCAAGGTCACATATTTTTTAGCCTTAACTGAGACTTGATAATCATTGATTCGACCTTCCTCCAATAAGGCTTCAGCTATTGGCTCTTTCTACCTGTCTTGTAGGATGACAATGTAATAGGAGTATTTACTCAAAGCTATGAAACAATATCCTTCCAAGTATTAGAGGACCAAAATAAGTACTAAGAATACCTATGACTTGGCTAATTTGGGGATAAGTTACTTGCAGAGAAATGCTAGGATCTTTCAGAATTCTTACAAGGATCCTGATTTAGTTCATTGAATAGAGCTGTGTTTTCGTATCTGTGTGGTCTAAAAGCTATCCCCTGGGACTAGTTTTTTCCAGATAATTTCTTTTTGGCATTTTTGGTTTTTATGTGTTTGAGGCCTCTCCGTCCTCTATTTTTTTTTTAAAAAAATTCTCTCTAGTAATAATCTTCTTTATCCAAAAAATGAAAATAAAAGGTCACCGTATTTTTTACAATTTCACCCGTCAACACATTAAACATAACTGACGAGAAAAATTTCATGTCACGAAGACCTTTGCTTTCATCTCTTTTCAGACCCCTGACTAGATCTCCTAAAGAAGATAATTAAGGATAATCAGGTTAATGTCTCAATGGCTTTGTTGTCTATCTCAAATCCATTACCAGGATCTGAAGCAAAGAGGTCTCGAATACACAGTAACACTTTGTATGTATAGTGTATTCATTTGTGGTGTGATAACCTTCTCACCAGGCCTCTATTAACTTTTCTCCTGTTAAAATGTCCTTGCTTTATTTGTCCAATTAATCTTAATTCTCTAAACATGGTTTGGATCTGTTGAATCTTCAGTTTCAAGAAGTTTGTCACCAATTTGGAAGAGGAAATGGGATATGAGAACAGTTGGAGCATTGATGTAGAGAAAGGATCTGCTGCCGCTGGTGCAAGTAAAATAAATAAAAATGAAATCTCTCTCGTCGTCAAAGACTTGTTGGATTCTTCTGATAGATCCATCAAGTCCAAAGCTCTGGACAGATATAAATCTATTGGAAATCAATTCTATCAAGAAGCACGCCTATTGGATGAAGAAATAAAAAATTTTGAAACAAATATCCGAAGGAGGTATTTCCATGTAACTCCACTTGACGATGATGAACTTACTAATTGGCATCGTTATTTGGATTTCATTGAGAAGCAAGAGGATTTGGACTGGGTAAGACACTTATCATGGATAATTTTGGAATTTTCCTTTTCATCACATGCTAAATTGAAGCAGTAATTGTACAGGCTGTGAAATTGTATGAGAGATGCTTGATTTCCTGTGCTAATTATCCTGAATTCTGGATTCGATATGTGGAATTCCTGGAATCTAAAAGGGGACGTCAGCTAGCTATCTCTGTTCTAGACCGAGCAACACAGATATTTTTAAAGGTGCATTGCTCATTAACATGTATGCCACTTTTACAATTTTCATTAGTTTCATGTTCTTCTTCACTCTCTGTATCTCTCTAGGTCGGGAGAGACGGGTGGGCCTGGAATATAAGGGGTCGTTCTCTTTGTGTTTCAATTTTCTGTTTTGAGTTTTGAATTCGTTTTGTGTTTTGTGTTTTGAGTGTCCGTTTTGAAATTGTTGAAAATGCGTTCTGTTTGTTGTTTTGGAAAACTATTTCTGAAAACATGAAACTAGAAAACATGTTTACTTTGA